GATCAGGTCTCCCCTCAGCCTCATTTTCTTCAGGCTGAACATCGCCAGCTCCCTCAGCCGCTCCTCATCAGACTTGTTCTCCAGACCCTTCACTAGCTTTGTTGCCCTTCCTTGGACACATTCCAGCATCTCAATGTCTTTCTTGTAGTGAGAGGCCCAAAACTTAATACAATATTTGAGGTGCAGCATCACCAGTGCCAATCAGAGGGACAATCACTTCCCTAGTCCTGCTGGCCATATGGTTCCTGATGAAGGCCACGATGCCAATGGCTGACCACACTGCTCCTGATGCAGGCCAAGATGCCGTTGGCCTTCTTGGCCACCTGGGCACACTGCTGGCTCATATTCAGCCACTGTCGACCAAAACCCCTTTTCTGCCTGACAGCTTTCCAGCTACTCTTCCCCAAGCCTGCACAGCTCTGACCCAGTGCCCCTGCCCCGAGAGGACAGGGCACAGGGCAGCTGGGCCTGCAGTCAGGCCTCAGCCAGCCCGTCCTGTCCACGCGGAGCTGGACCTCCTCACGCAGCAAGGGGAGGAGGGCGAATCGCCAGGGTCACCTCACAGCAAGGGGAGGAGGGTGAATCACCAGGGTCACCTCGTTTGTCACAGTTGCACCATTTACTGAACCCAGGTTAACATAATGTCCGGGTAAGCTGTGATACTGATAGACGACAGTACAGCATTTCCAAGGCAGGATTCCACAAGGCCATGTTTTTAATCTTACTTATATAGAGAAATTTTAAAAACCCCAAACAGTAGCACTTAGTCAAAATAAGTACTTCTAGTTGCTGTTTACAAAATGCAAAGGAACCATGCTTTCTCACAAAAGGAACACACAAGGTATCGATTGTAATAGTGGTAGTATTCAATATGTCTTACGTGTTGTCCGTACCCTGAAGCGTTGCCTTATCATTCTTGGTATGCAGGTGTTCTCTGTTTGTTTACTGTTGCCTTTTTTAATTTGGCATGGTGACCTCCCTCACCGGGGACTGAGCAGTTGTAGTAGGTTAAACGGACACCAGATCAGCTTGGGGAAGTAGTAAGGCCCCTCGAACCTGGCTGCAAGCGGTGGTGGGCTCAGCACTTGCTCTAAAGGTGAGTTTTGAAAAACTAAATTATTAAGTGAACCTTCCACTTTTCCATCATTCATTCATTTCATTCTTCTTCAACATAATGTGCTGACAGCGTAGATCCTACTTTTGTCTTCTGAAATCCAGATTTTAAAAAATTTCAGCACGTTTGTCTCTAAACACAAGGTGGCAGCATTTTGTGTTGTTTACCACTGAACATTGGTAAAAGCTACAGGTATTTTACAATACATAAATCAGAGGTGGTGGAGGAGTTTAGGCTTTGAACAGTAGAACTCATGGAAGTTGCACACTCATTTATATTGCAAATCTGTTATTGTGGAAGCTTGGCATATTTCAAAAGCTGCTTTTGGTTAATAATTTCAGTACTTTTCTCATTATTTTTCCATGAGCAGATTGGGAACATCTTAATTTTTTTGAAATATGAATTCATTTTCCTTGAGGACATTAAAATGATGTCATTCCATGGCAAAATTAAGGAGGTTAAACATTGGCTGGACTCAGGAATCATATGCTTCAAGAAATTTCTGGGATATAGGGAAGCCCCAGCAAAGCTGAGGTTCAAAACCAAGATCTGTCTCTGATCTGTACAGATTTTCTGAGTCAGGTTGAACACTTTCCTTTTTCCCAACGGCCATTTATTTTGTTTCTGCATGTGGGAAATGCAGCCTACTCATTTTTAAAATTTTTTAAGAAAAAGTTAAGTAAGAAACTGAGCCAATTAAATTCTAATTTAATGAAATACTTGGGATCTACCAACTTCATAGGCAATCAGACTTTCAGAAAAAGGGAAGTTTAGGTTTTGTGACATTCTGTGGCTAGCTGGGAAAGCCCAGATGCTGGTGAAAGCCCAGAAGTGTGAGTGTTGCTGTGGCTGAAAAACTTCAGACACGCATACGCCTGCATTGTTGGCATGCAATACCCACAGCCATGGATGTGAGAAAGAAAGCGTAGTCTCCAAGCGCCTTGTCACCTTACTAGTGAAGGGTTAACCTCAGACAAGCCTTTCTCTCCTCACCCTTGTTATTTTCCTCAAATTGATGTTTTAAAAAACCCTCCTTTTTCTTCCAGACTCCCTGATGTAAAAACATTTGTTCAGTGAATTCCAAACCTTTGTGCTTCTGGGACTGTCCATGGTGTGAGTTACAGACGGTTGACTCTTCCTTCATCTGCCATTAAACCTTGTCAAGCAAGAGAATTCTGAGACATCCAGCAGCCTTCAGAGATCTACTTCAGACCAATGACCCCAGGCAAAGAGCATGCAGAAGGCCTCATATAAATCCTAGTTCATCAGCTGAAATGCATCTCCCAAATGGAGATAGGCTTGCAAAGTTTTCACCTTGTGGCCTCTAGCCCTTAAATTAACCATCATGGTAAGGATGTGCTCTGAGCCTAGAAACAGTACGAACAAGTGAAGCATAGTTCTGGTATTTTGTTACAGAGGGAAGTTACTTGCTTTCTGTTGCCCTCACTGGCGCTTCTCTAACAGATAAATTCCCTTATCAGCTGCCAGCAGCAGAGAGGATTTTCTCTACCTTTACCATGCCTCCTGCTTTCCTGCAATCCATGCAACACCCACTGCTTCTTTAGCTACGAAGAGCATGACAGGTGAGACTCACTCAGCTGCTCCAGAGCCTTACCTTGCTCGCTGCAGAGAAGGTAGTGTCCTTCTAGCCAGCCCAGCTCTATCGTGCAACTTCCCGACCACGGCCTTAGAGGCACTACAGGAGCTGACATCCAAAGCAGGGTCTGGCTGCAGTTACTAGTCAAACGTAGATCTAGACAGATTTGGTTTCATGTTTCTCTGAAAAACCTTTAAAGCTGAAGAAATTTTGAGTGTCCCTTGTTATTGAGAGGTTTACCTCCTGCAATTGTCCCACAGCTATGATATTTTAAGCTGGCTGTTGATATGACAAACAGCAAAGTCACATAGAATCACAGACTGGTTTGGGTTGGAAAGGACCTTTAAAGATCATCTAATCCAGCCTCCCCTCCTTTGGGAAATTCCTTTGACCAACATACAGGCTGTTGAATTCTCAGGTTTATGAGTGGTACTTTCCAGGGTATTTATTTCCTCTGGTTTCCATGACTGCACATTGAAAGGATGCATTCTCCTCCAAAGACTCTTAGCGTAACTCCTAAGATTACTATCTGTGAAAGCAGTTTAAACATGCAGCAACAAGCATCCATCGCATCTGCTGTGAGTTACGGTCCGTGTTTATTGGACTAATAGGAAACAAAGAGAGATCTGGTCGTTAAAGAAACCTAGTGAATTCAGATATTCTGGAGGTTGTGGGGAGATTAACAGAAAACCGCCGCATATTTTCAATATCCTGGGGGTTTGGGGTTTTTTTGTAATGCTGATGAAACAAAGATATAAATGTCAGATGAGCTTCCCAAGCCACAGAAGAAATAATCATTGAAGTTATGGTTGGGATATAAGCATATCTGTGCCTGGGGCTTGTGTCCAGAGCTCACAGGACCCTGCCTGTTTGTTAGATTGTAGTTCTATTTCCAACAGTTTAGGTGAAACAGCACTTGAGAGATGAAATAATTGCACAGCAATGCACACTAATGACTAAATACAACCTTTATTATAGACACCAATAATAGAAAAATAAAGAGCATATCTTACTTCTCGTTGCAAACTATTTTTTAGCAACCATATATTATAGCAAGCTAGAAGTGATCAACCTTCACACACTCAAAAATCTACATCTCCCTTCCTCTTTCAGCCAGAATTAATAGCTGCTTTTTAATGTGGACTTTGTCCATCAGAGAGCAAAAAGGACTGAAAGAAACTAAATCTTGCTTTACAAACTCCTTGGTGAATTTGCTAATTATAACATCATCGTGCCGTGGGATGCCCTTGGGCGTGCACACCATGGGTGTGCGAGAGACCATGGCGAATAGTCTGGGGTGAGAGCTGCAGCAGAGCATGAGGGAGCTAGTGGGATGTGCTCACCTCCAAATTTCTGTGAGTGGCCCCACTGTCTCCTGACCAGCACATGCTTGCAAGCACGTTAAGCACAGCTTCCCTGGTGGGATGCATCATGTCATCATGATCAATGTCTTCTGGTTCAGGGATGGGTTAATCTGAGTCTGCAGCTGGAGGAAAAAGTGAGCTGGGGCTGCTGAGACCAACACTGCTGGTCACTCTGGGCCCCAGCTGCAGCCTTGTCCCCTCCCACAGCAGACTCCGCTCTACTCTCTGCTCCCTGGGTACAGGGGCTCATCTGCCTAAAGGAAGGTTTTTGGTATGCAGATTTTAGGGTGGGATGGTGGGTAAACCCCTGTCCCAGGCAGTGAGCAGGTTGCTGAACAAAAGTCTGACTGTGGCAAAGAGCAGCCCTGGAAGGGAAACTCTGGTTTAACAGGGTCACCTGTAGCTGTGCACCTCTGGTTTGTTTACTCAAAGGTTGCATCACTGGACTCATCTATTTTAATGAATCTAAACATCATCTTTAAGAAACCTGATGGATTTTCTGGGGGACAGTGATACTGCTTGCTTTAAACTATTTTTAGGCATCTGACTTAGGTGGTCTGAATTGCCTCCTTTGTTGATAATAAAGACTTCAGGCTCCTCACTTTGGTCCTCTGCACTATGTCTAAATTAGATGCTAAGAATAGCCTAGAGGGTGTGAGTTCTCTCCTTCCCACCTTAAAGGAATTGCTTCCAGAAATATTCATTAGCTTTAAACACGTGGTGTCATCCCACTTAAAAGTATGGCTTCAGGGCAGTGAGATTGCCAGGCAGAAGCTAAAACTCCTGTGACTTCTCTTCTTGCTACACGCATTTGGAAGCACAAAGGCACCTCAGATACGTTCGTATCCTCTATGCGGCTTTCTTCTGGAAATCAGGAATGTGGCAAACACAATGACAAACAATCCCAGGATACTCAGGCCCACCGCAATGGGAGCTGCTTTGCTGTTTTTATCAGGAAAACATTCTTCTTCTGAAAGTAAAAGAAGGTCAGATAATGTGTTATAGCAGAGCATCATGCTCCTAGACTATAAACCTATATTCCACAAAAGTTAGCAAATACAAGCCAGAAGTTCTCAAAACCTTGTTTTGAGAACTATATAGCTATACTTTATAAATTTTTACCCATGGTGAATACTTGCTCCTTTTTGAAATAGCTACGTGCTTTGCTGGAGAATGACTCTGCTCCTCCATGTCCGCAGTAAGTGATTTACCATCAAGATCATGATGCTTTGAATCATAGAATCATAGAATCACTGGGTTGGAAAAGACCTTAGAGATCATCCAGTCCAACCGTATCTGTCCACCACTAAACCCTATCTCTCAGCACCTCATCCACCCGTCTCTTAAACACATCCAGGGATGGTGACTCCACCACCTCCCTGGGCAGCCTGTTCCAGTGCGTGATAACCCTTTCGGTGAAGAACTTCTTCCTTACATCCAATCTAAACCTCCCCTGGCGCAGCTTGAGACCATTCCATTTGAGTGGCACCTGAGTAGAAAACTGTCCCCTAAGTAGGGTAGCTTGGTCAGCTAAACCCCACAACATATTCCAGCTCTGCAGGGAATACAGTTTATACCCGGGGTACGAGAGAGATCCAACACCCTCCACCCCTTTCACTCCCTGTGACTATTCCAAGGCAGATTTCGACAGCGCTAGAAGACAAAAGCCTCCGTTGTTACTGTCTAATTCCATGATGACTATGCTGGCACAGGCTGTAGCTGAGCTTGGGCTTTTCCCAAAGGGAATCCTCATGGCAACAGCGGGACGTTAGCCCAGGGAGCATATGGAGTGCATGACAGCATGTCACAGCTCCAGAGCCTCCACATGGCTCTCCCCAAACTCTGATCCTCTTCTCCTCTGATCCAGATGGTGATTTCACACGATGCAATGCCACAAAGCCAAAGGCATCAGCGTTCTGCCAGGTGCTCCCTTTTAAAGCTTTATCTGGTTAATGTAACCTGCTGTTAAGGAAGTGAGCTGACAAGTATTGCATCTGAGCATTGCAAAACCCAGAGATTTTTGAACTGGCCATTTTCCTTGGATGAAACCTTGGGCTATGAGCCCTGGGAATTGGTTTTGATACACTGAAATGCACCTCAGAGGAAACTTTTGCAGCTTTCCAGACTCAAACAGGTCCAGCTGTGGATGTAACACTGCTGCAGTTTGTACAGCATTGTAAGGAACTTGAAACCAATGATCATTAGTGTTGTCATTTCCTTCCCCTTTTAAAGGTAAGCAAATCAGGAGCAACAGAAGTGAAACTACCAGTCTCCAGAAACCTGAGGGGAGGAGGCTGGTGATGTGCAGAGTCATCCCTCCACTGGGGATTTTGTCTTTCAAAATCTGCATAAGCAGCAGAGCTACGTAACAGTTTCATAACTATTTCATGGCCACTAGGGAATTATTTCAGAGGTGGCAGCTGCTTTCTCAGCCCTTTGATTAAGAGCAAAGCTAATTTAATTTTGTATATGGTATTGATTAGCAGAGATTAGCCTGACCTGGGGGGAGGGAGGGTGGTGAAGAGTGAGTCATTCTAAGCTCTGTTTCTGCTAGCGGTGAGGCCATACCAAAAGCCAAAACTGAACTCACTCATTGTACAAATTTGAATGGGAATGTGAGGACCAGATGGGATCCCATGAGTTGTTCCAGCTCAGTGTTATCCCATGAAAAGAATCTTCGTGAGAATGGGAGCACAGATTGGATTCTCAGTGTGGCGTTTAAGAATTTACAGAAAAGTATGCAAACCAAAGGGCCATGTCTTTAAAAAAGCCCCAAATGTTGTTTCGCATTATATTTCTTTTAAAGTAAGAAACACAGCCAAAATGGTGAACTAACAAAAGAAGAATCAATCAAACAGGGCCAAACTGAGTGAAAAGACAGATCTAGAGTAAAAAGAAGAATACAGGGGAAATATTCTGTAAGCATGCAGAAAGCCAAATGTCAGAAAAAGGGAATGTTCTGTTAGTGCATGTGAAAGGCTGGACAGCTGATAAGCCTGGCTGGGCACTTGAGTTCTTGTATGGAAACACCCTGTGAGGACCCACAGGAATGTGAAGATGCACTATTTGAAAGAGACCACAGGTGCCATCTAGCCCGCTGCTCTGGCTTTTGTAGGATCTTTCACGTGTCCCACAAGAAGTAAGGCAGTAGACCATGAGAGTGTCCATACAGCAGGATGTGGGAGTTTGCTGGTGGGTCCAGCAGTCCTGGCACCCACCGCCCGGCCAGGCCTTGGCTGCATCGCTGGACAAGAAACAAGGGTGACAACATCTTGCTTCCCTGTGGAAGGAACCCCAGGTGTGGGTGTAGGGGAGAAGTTGTGATGATCCCCAGTACATTCTCCTGATGTGGGCAGTCCAGAGAGCAGGACAGTCAGTACTGGTCTGTCTCTGCCCTTCAATAAGCTACATGGTCGCCTCTTTATGGCTGTACTCAAGAAAGGCCATATTAGAGAGATCAGCATCACGCCGAAGTCTGAAACCGGGCACATGCCACTTTGTCATGTCTAGACAGAGCTGCTCGGAAAGCATCATCCTGCATTCACCAATGTCCCTTATTCGTGGGCAGCTTTGCTGCTTCAGCTGTGGGACATCATGAGTGTCGAGAGCCTTTCGAAGTAGCTGAAGTCTGACTGTATCAAGAACAGTGACCTTGAACTGAACTGCACGTATCAGGAGTTTGGGCACCACGGTGGTGGTGAACAACCTCCGCTTGCTCTGGGCCAAAATGGGTGAAGAATAAAAGGGTGGCTGTAGAGCTGAACATCTTTCATGAGAAGGTGAACAAGCAGGTGCTGAATGCAGGAGGGAAAGACACTTTTCCATGTTCCATAGGTATTAGCACTGTGTTGAAAATGATTTGGCAAAGGGTGAGAATACAGTGTCGGGCAGATTACATTGTTTGGGAGCTGTTGCCGAGGCGTGATTGCGCTGTAGGTGTGACAGGATCGCCGCAGGTGTGTGTTTATAATCTAGCAGATAACACCCACCAGGCTACCCGAGTACTGACAGGAAGGGTGGAAAAGGGATCCTTCTACTTACGTTTTCCAAACTGGTTACCGACCATATCAAACGCCTGCAGCTGCATATTGACAAAGAGCAGCTGGAAGTTCTTCTCCAGGCCGAAGGTTTGCTTGCTGACACACTTGAAGGAATTCCCGAGCGTTGTTGTGAACAGCTTCTCATGTATGGCTGCATAGTACAGCATACCTGGAGGCCAGAGAGAGAAATGGGAGTCCACACCACCTCTGCTGGAGCCAACATCTTTCTGAGATAAAAAGGAAGATTCTGGTGCTTTGGCAGAGCCACAGATGTGACCAAAGCAGGGACATTTCCCCATAAAGTATCAGTTACCTTTCTTCCACGGTTAAATGAGGGATTTAATTACCAACCAGCAGCTCAGCTGAGCTTGGGTCTGAAAAAGTGCCTAAAATTTCAGATGCTTCTTCAAATCCTATTTTAACCACCTGATTCTGCAAGAGGGCTTTTGGATTTTTGCAGGAGCAGACAACTACCTTGGGTCTCCAGCACGGCTGTTTCCAGGCAAAACAGAGATGCCACCTCTAGCGTGGGAATCTGACGTATCCAGTCTGTATTGCTTTATGTATTAACTATGTTTTAAACATATTTCAGTGTCACAGTACGTTACGGAAAACATGGCTCAAGTTCAAAGCATGAAAAGATCCTGTAACCTGGGCATCTCCTTTATGCGTATCCTCCTCTGAAAAGTGGATATGCCACTTGAAGACAAACATTTTTTTACGGTGCAGCCTACTCCTGGTCCTCTTCAGTCAAAACCAGTACAACCAGTGTGTGCTGGTACAGCTAAATCAGAAATTTCCATCTTGGAAAAGATACAGGCTTGCTCACAGCAAAAATGCTGCTGGTGGGCTATGAAACGGCAACACCTGGCAGAGGCAGTAACAGACAGCCAGGGGTGGCCATGGCTCTTCCCAGCACCCCTGTGGAGGACTCCAAGTATATTCGAGGATTTTAAAACTGACGATTAAGCTGATTAGTTTGTATTTGCTGCAATTTGCACTTGGCAATGCACAGGAAAACTCTGATCATTTAGTCTGAGAACATCCCTAGCAGACATGTCCTCTGGATCAGCTTTTCTTTAGCTGCTGTAGATCAGAACAGGCTCCACTGGGGTTAACAGAAGTGCTCATCAGTGAGAACAGGCACTGAGCTTTTTGGAAGCTCAGTGCTATTAGACACACCTGACTGAGCTCCTGATTTGCTCTTCTTTTTCAGAGCCAAAAGTCAATCCAAATAGTTATGAGTAACAAAGAGAGAAGCGACATAATAATAGTCATTAACCTGGCAGAGATCTGATAAAATGGGAAGAATTTGTGCAAAATTAATGTCAGAAAATCTGATGTGATGGCTCAGAATTTTGCTCTCTGACCTAAATGATGTTCTCTTGGCATTTCTTGGGAGGTAGCATCTGGGCCAGCTCCTGACTGTTCAAGTGGTGAGAAGCAGGGCTATGTAAGAAAAAGGAAATCCCATCACCTGAGAAGAGCATGGACATGGTCTGGGATTTCAGAATGAACCAGGGTTCAGAGAACCTCAGCCTGGGTCCAGTTCTTATTTTTGCCAAACCAAAATGTCAGAGGCACCTCTTCTCCATGCTGATGTTTTTGCAATCTGGATCCAGCCCTGCATTTCTGCGATCCAGACACTGTGTTCACTTAGTTTGCGTATAGGATCGGAAAGACGCCTGCAACTGAACTGGAATCACAGCACTTTTGTGTGTCTGCAGAAGAACACTCTGAGGACTGTTTTGAAGCTTAAACTTAGGTTCGAAGTAATCTCTATTCTGAAAGATCAGTAAAAGGCAAGGGAAGTTTTTGAGGACAAAAGGAAAATCCAACAGTTCTGATGAAACTGCAGCCCAGTCCCTTCTCTTCCATTTTCATACCATAAGATGTAGGTGAATGGCACGTTGAAAGCCTGATAAAATCCATAATTTGCAAAATGCAATGCTGTAAAGATATGACAGCCTATCCCACAGCCAGAACGGTTTGATAGGAAATTAAAGCAGTGTAAGATCACTGACCTTCAGAATATAACTGTAATCTGGCCTCAATTTTACTGACGTAGTACGTTGGAGCTTGCTGCAAAAGAAGACAGATCTTTATTCATAATACATCCTCATATTTGCACAAAAAATACAGTTCACCGCAGCAAAACGGTCACAAAGAATTTCCCGAAGAAACACGTTTTGAAGCATCACCCTCAGGACCCAAGTATTTATTGCTCACTGCAGCCGAACTGGGCCACGCAGGACTCATGTTACACACCGCCCGAGCTACACATTTGTGTATTACTTGTGGCAACCGAAAACAGGAGGCAGTTTAGCAGCTAGTGCACATTGCACAAATTAACAGGCACGTGCTAAGGCTGTTTTATTTTCATTCACCTGCTCTGCTTTCACTGCGAGTCCCTACAGCGCTCCCCTGAGTGATCCTGCGCTGAATGAACCCACGCTGACCTGCAGTCCGACTGCTCGCAGGAGCTGAGCCGACCCCTCCGGAAGCCTTCAGGACTCTCGGCGCTGCCGTGCACTTTATGCACAGATGCCCTTCGTGTGAGCAAACTGCGGAAAGCACCCGTGCTGCCGCGTCCATCATTGATTCGAACTTGGAGAGGTCAGCAACACGCTGGGAGCCAGGAGCTCCTCTCATACTAGTACCACTCATTTCCTATTTTATCTACCTACAGCAGCCACTGCAAATAGGGAAACAGCAACCTGGACGTGCCTGTGTAGGGGAGAAATCACTGTTCCTTATGCCCTGCGGACACTGTTGGTGCTGGCTGGGGTTTTTCCATGTGCCGACACACTGCTGACGCAGAAATCACCTGGTACAACAACACAGAGCAGCACCTCCAGCCAAATGTCCTGCCCGCACGTGCCCTAAAACCCTGGTGCAACCTGAATGCTGTCCTCTCCTGGACTGCCACAGAGTGAGAGCCAGCCCTAGGAGCTTCTCCCTGGCAGCAGTGTTGGAGGGAAATGTGAATCTTGGTGTAGCAGCCCTGCTGTTCGTTTTACCTCATAAGCCAGGGATGGGTGGGTGCAGCTGGTAGATAAAAGGCAGCAGACATGGATGTCTTATACCCAGTTTTAACGTTATGCTGTTTACAAGCTGGTAGGATGGATTGGGAAAGTTAAAAGAAATACACCAGAGAAGAGGTTCTCAGCGTTACTCCTACTGAAAGGCATAAATTGGTCAAATATCAGCAATTCGTTGCAGCAGTGCTATGTTCTGTTTGGCCACAGTTAATAACTTGGCTTGGGGAAAACACCTGCTCCTACTTCACATCTTGTGGGCTGGTTACAAAACTTCCCTTTTTCAAGTGCTTTTGCAAAGGGCGCTAGCGGCGGTGAGCACCCAGCCGGCCACTCTCCTCACACTACCCCGCACCAGCGCCGCAGCCCCGGCGCCCAATCCAGCTCCTCTCACCGGTGAAAATCAGGACTGCTCTGGCCGGAGCACTCCTGGGTCAAAGCAACTAGAGAGGCAAACATCAAAAACCAGCAGCAAAATGATTTCTTATTAACCTGAATTTCAAAGCCGAGCCCTGCTCTTGAGGCTTATCTTCAAGTGAAGGGAGGATTGTTTAACGCCGTGCCAATAACCACCTTTTTCAGGGCAAGACAGGTCAAGTACCTCTCACGGTTCACCCCGCCCTCCTTAGCACTGCTGCAGGCTGGGGCTTTCATGGGTGCTTGAATCACCAGATTTTTTCTGAGGATCCTTGTGACAGAAAACGCTCCCCTTGTTGCAGGAAGCATACACTGAAAGCAAACACTCACGGTCTGAACCGAACCTTTGTTTTGAAACAGCCCCTTGGCTTTTTACCTCACTTTTTCTCTGTAGCTTTTAGGAATCTTTCTGCCATAAACTAAAATCAAGATGATTATTAATTGAAACCTTTCCTCTGCTTAAGCATTAATGACTCAGGTGTGGTATAATTTGCCTCTTGGACTTTCTATGGAAATGAGTGAATAACCATTTGTACTTCTCCTAATTGTCACTACTTTGAGCTTGGAACCAGGCTGTAAGATTCACATTTTGGATTGATTAACTGAAGGGCACAGACCAGCAATGATGGCCAGATGCAGCTCTGAACGGCTCCGGAGCTCCAGGACAAGGCCTTAATGCATGTTCCACTCCGAGTCTGACCCAACCCGTGCCGTGTTCCTCCCTGCCCACTAATGACTATACGCAACATTAACGTCTGCCTTCGGCCCTGCTGGCATCACCACCCAGCCCTTATGAGCCTTCGGATAAACAGGACTGCGTTCTGCCACCCGAAACGTGTCAGCCCGGTAGATGCCTGAGGAAGCAAGAGGATGGCTGTGCTCCGCAGGTTTCTCCTGTGGTTATAGCAGCAGCAGTCCTGCTGTCTTATGCTAAAGCCTCACCCACCGGCAATGCGGGCCCAGTGGGGAACGTGGCGTCAGCGGGCCCAGTGTCAAAAAGTGGAAGTCAAGAAGTCCCACCATGTAAGCAGGGCCTCTCTCTTGCCCAAGTTTCTGTGCATCTCCTCAGTATGGTGCATTTTAAGGGCACTTACCTACATTTTTGTTGTTCACTTGTTCAGAATTTTCCACTCGTGAATTAGATGAAATTAGGCTCGTTCAGCTGTGGATGGGCCATGGCTCCTGGGAACTTCCAACTGCCCAGGCTGCCTTTTGGATTTAACAACCACAGCTGACTTTTGGATGGGCAGTTGGCACTTATGGGAAGCAGGTGACTAACCTCCCCTGCAGTCAGGGGTCCCCGAGACACCGTTTCGTAACAGCAACTTGATAGCGAGTTCCACGCACGGACACCTCGTTCCTGCAGGCACTCCAGTACCAAACCCATGCCCTCTGCCCCGCTCCAATGCCAACAGCAGACCCGGCCTTCCCTCCCACAAGGTTTTCACCTGGATAGAAATGGCACACAGATTCTGGGGGAGCTTTGTGTTGCCAGACTGGTGCTTTAACATGGGTCTCGGGGTTGTACCCGGTGGCCTCCAAACGTCCTTTGCAACCTGTATTAATCCACGGTTCTATGATTCTAGCCTCTTGGGAAGGACAGGAGTGATAATGCCTTATATACAGATGGAAAACTAGCCCAGGGATGGATGAAATGCCTTTCCCACAGCGCAAGCTGTATCAAAGACAGCCTGAGTTCCAGATCCCCGATCCTAAACTCTCCTTCCCTCTCAATGCAACACTTACCTTTACAAAGGTGAATTTTATAAACCCTCCACTGAAAGTTATGTTCAGCTCAGACTGCACCGTCCCACAGCTGCCAGACGTCTGTGTCGCGTTGGGGTTGACGGTCATGTACTCCATCCGCTTCTGCGGAGAGAAGAGACATGGCAGGGCTGCTGATGAAGAGGAGGGGAAAACTTAATGAGGAACACACAGAGATTTATAGCCAGTGGGATATAAGATGGCAGAAAATAATCGGTTTCTGCTCGCTCAGTGAACTGACAACGATTCGGAGCAGGGTCAGATGAGCACCAGAAGTAATTTAAAAACAAGGAGCACTGGAAACTCGTGCCTGAAGACAGCGGAAAAATCAGGACAGAGGCAGGCATCACCCCAGCCTCCTCATTATGTCCTGCATCATAGAGTTCATCTCTAGCATCAGCCAACCCAGGCTGTAGCCTGAAAGGAGAGCTCTGGGGCCCTGAATATACAGTTTGGGTCCTTTGGTCTCATCTCATACACACCTTTTGTAATCAGCATCTCACTGTGGGCTGCTGAGGTTGGGAACAATGCTCCCTGCCTGGCTTCAGACAGGAAAGGGATAAAGGGTGTGCAGATGTGGTGCTTAGGGACATGGTTTAGCGATGAACTTGGCAGCGTTAGGTTTACGGTTGGACTCAATGATCTTAAGAGTCTTCGTCAATCTAAATGGTTCTGTGATTCTATGAGAATGACTTTCACCAACATCAGATACTTATCCCATGTTAGAAATATTCAGAGTCCTGGCAAGAATATTTGGATTTCTCATGGGGATGACTCAAGGCGTATGAACTTCAGAGCCTGAGGCTTTAACCCCACATACTGTATTAATGGAGGTTACAAAACCTTAATTGTGAGGGACATAATCACCATTTTGGATTTTATGACATCTTTTGATGAATTATTCACAGTGGATCCCTGCTAGGAAAGAGTACCAGATCCCCTGCTCTGATCCAGCCTGGCCATTCCCGTGTTCCTAAAATCTCCACGTGTCAGCATCAAGACAACCCTCCTCTGGATCCAAGTCTGAGAGCTGACAATTTCTTGCTTTCGTTGCAACTCACCATGTCAAACCCTTCACTGAGCTCAATTCAGATTTTAGTCTCCTGGGAAACACAGTAACGCTGAAGCCTGACCTACCCTCCCCAGTACTGCTTCCACAGCCAGACCCCTGAGGTAAGAAAGCACCCCGCCGCCCCACCGACACCCCCCTGCCAGCCAGAGTACAGCAGCTGAGCTGCTCTGGCCCAGAAAAGGCCTCGGACTGGCAGCAGACCACTTCGGTTATCACACAAGCTAACTTCTGGAAACTGCCTTGAAAGAAGACATTCCGGCTAACGAAGAAAGAGCAGTTGGAAAGCTCAGCCTCACAGTGCTTCCACCTCACCGTCTGCGTATTCTGGGCCATCAGCTGCAAACCCATGGCCACTTTGACGCAGGTCCTGTTCCCGCTGGAGACGGTGTACGTGCCAGTGGGGATGGGAGAAGGCTGCGGTGCAAGAGTGGGCCTTGCTGTCATCGTGGTGGATGGGATGGCTGTTGGAGTGCCCGGACGAATGGTGGTTGTGTCTGTTGGACTTTTAGGAGTGGTTGTTTGGTTTCCTGACCCTGTGATGGGCTTTACAGGTTTCATGGTGTTGGCTGTGGTAGTTGTGGCAGCAGCTGTCGCTTCTGTACTTGTCGCTGTATGTTTTACGGTCGTGTTTGTGGCTGCCGCTGGCGTTTCTGTGCTCACGTGTGTTCTGGCGTGCTCGGCTGAGGACACAGGGTGCGTGGTTGTGTTCTTTGCTGCAGGTGTAACCGTTTCCATTGCTTGGGTTGTAGCTGTAGTTGTGTTGTCTGTGGATGTTATGGATACCACCGTGGGAGGTGTCTGGCTGGTCACTCGTACGGTGGTTGCTCGTGCCTGGGCGGTCGTGTGATCGTCTGTTGTTACCTGGCGTGGGGCTGCCGTCTGCGCAGTTGGTCTGTCGCTTATGGGTGTTGTTTTAAGAGAGCCCGTGCTGTCAGAATGATCTGTGGTGCCCTGATGGGGTGAAGAGTGGTAAATGGAAAGTGGCTGAGCAGAAGTAGCCGTATAGTGGAAGGATGTGGTTTCTGTAGACAGCTCGACCCCCAGGGCCACTTCAGCAAAGCAGGAGGAAAATGCTGCAAAGAAACAAGTAAGTCAGTAGTCTGGTATCAAAAATTTTTATTGATACCCACAACATAACTGCACTGATTTTGTTATCACATGGGTGATAGCATTGTATTCTTCATTTGGCCCCCGTCATGATAGAAGAGTGAAAGCAGACATGCTGTAGGACTACCAGTAACTTTTCCCTCCTCCCGCAATCCTCGATCCTCTGAATACACCCCTTGCAGTGGGAGCACACTGGCTGCCAGCTCCCCACACACTGCTTTTGCTGCTGAAGAAGCCAGAGGATGCCGGAGGCATGAGCAGACCTGGCACAGGCATTCCCCTGCAGGCAGCAGCACAGCTCGGTTTGCTGGAAGCCAAGCTGAAGCGGGTGTAAGAGGTGCAGGGGTGGTTGGTACTTACCAACAAAGCACGGGGAAAGGGAACATTTGTGTGTGTGGAGGAAGTCAGGCAGTGGAATGGCCTTACAGTGATTCACAATAGAAACCAGTCTGTGAGACAGGGACATTCCAGATCTTTATTTATGGTTTTGCTGTAGCCGTGCCTGCTTGAACCCTGAAGTTCTTCCTCCTGGAAGGTACCCAAAGGGATGCTCCCAACAAGGAAAGACCAGCCCTGTTAGCGATGGGCTTTCAGCAGTGAGAAACAAATTTCAGGGCACAGCACCCAGGGGCTTTTTGGACCACATCTAAAAACGCTCACAGCACCAAAGTTATGCTTCCATCTTACACCATTTACAGAAACGTGTCCCTTGCAGAACTGAAAACAGTATCTGGGTCCTAAACGTAGATAACCAAGTGAAGTAGGAAAAGTACATTATGGAACAGATGAAGGTCACAACTCTTCTGTGTGAGTCTTTGTGAGTATACAGGAGGACTCTGTAAAGACAAGGTCAAAAGAAATCATAAATCACTGATATACACAAACTCCTCGACGGGCATGAAGCTTCAGGTGTAGTTAAATGCTTCACTGCCTGAAGTAGCCGGAGGACAGAGATGAATTCTCTGGTTTGGAGAAAGAAGGGACCCAAAAGTCCAAGAGAGCTCATGTTCCTGACAGTACAGCTCCACAGAGGACACACGGTCTGGGAAGTTTATTGTACGCTGTTTTTTCCAAAGAAATTCCTTGTGAATCGGTATCAAAACTTTGTGGCAGGCAGGTTGCTGAGATTTGGACTTCAGGAACGATTAAGGCCAGAGGGACATTTAGAGTGGAAACAGCTGCAACCTCACAAGCTCATCGTCCTTTCATTTATTTTCTCTCAGCCTGAACACAGATCTCCAACAATAGCCGAATCCACAAAATCTCACCACTTTAGGATACAGAGAGACCACATCCGAATAATAAAAGCTAGTGGGTTTTAAATCAAATTCCATATCAAGACAAAAGACACGAGAACAGATGTATAGATCTGTACCCGTGCTTTGTTTTCTCCTTAAAATGGCTATGCTAGGGAAGGGTACAAGGGTGGATATGTACTCCCTATTCCTCAAACTGCCGGGGTCTCACCTCTGTGCTGCACAGAGGAGACCTGTCTGCCGGTGTGGCTGGTACCGGCAAAGCAGTGCAACTTGATACCGTTGAAAAGCCACCAAAATGGCAGGGCTGATCCCTCTGATTGTGAATTTTTATAGAAGGAACCCAAAAATGCCCTAGGTAATATGATACTTCAGTTCATTTTCTCACTGTCCCTAGACTTCACCACACGGGCTGGCAGCGCTGAAGAGCAGATGATAACCTATCTCCTCCTCTGCCAGTGAAAATCAGAGCAGTTGCCATTACCAGCGACAGGCAATTGCATCTCAGTGCATTGGCACCGTGAAAATGAAAAAGGAGAAGTGGCAATTTTCACCTTTTTCCCCTATAAGATTGCAAAACAGCCCACATTTAAATTTGCACAAGTCTTAAATAGTCAGTACTTCTCCGTTTTGGGTTAGCAGATTGGTTTTGATTACTGACCAGATAACACACATCCTACAGACATGGAGAGAAACAGGCTTGCCCTAACACTGAGATGCCACCCATAGCTTTGAGGTGAAAGGTCTTTTTCCCCACAAGGCCTAACTCTTT